TCCCAGGAGCACACAGAGGGAGAGGCTCTGTTGGAGAAGGCTCCCTGGGAGAGTGCAATCAGGTGGCACTGGGCTGGGTGGGTGCAGAGGCAGCACATTCTGAGATAGAAACTTCAAACGCAGCAGTGGGCAGTGAGCTGCACCCTGGAGGAATCAAGGAGACAGAGAGGAAGWTGGGGAGTGCAGGCAGAGAGGCCAGAGGGAGGCTCAAGGGGTCAACTCTGCAAAGCCCAGGGTGAAGTCAGCTGTCTGAGCTTCCATGCTCAAAGCCTGGCAGGGGACATGCACAGAACTGTGTAGCACACACAGGAATGAAAACACSAAGGAGAGAGTCTTTAATTCTGCCCCTGCCMGCCAGGGGTGGGAGGAGGAGATGGAATTGAGAAAATCTCAGGAGAGTACTCTGAGCTAAGCCTAAAAGGAGGCTGGGGTCCTACCTGCATAGAAGGGAGGAACTGGGGAGAACAATCAGCAGAAGAGACTGCCTGGCAATGCGTTCCCTACTACGGGGATGAATAATGGTGTCAGAACCCTCAAAGTGCATGACTAACAGAGGGGGGATCCCCACCACCCGCTCTGCCTGGTCACTATAACTGCAAGGGATCTTTTCAAAGGTGATTCTGGGTATCCCTAGCTCCATGATTCAGAGACAAACACCACCAACTTCCTCTTGAGAATTAGGAGTCATCTTAACTCACTTGAGATTGCTGAGCAGAGTACAAAAATGACGACTCTCTTAGSGAAATGAAACATAAAAAATGAAAACCCTGCTTTAAAAGGAGAAAAAATTAACTCCCTCTGGGCCTGATGGGAAATTAAATTTTATRATTTACTCAGCAGCCAGTCAGGCACAGAATGAAGTCCCTGTGAAAGGACCTTTCAAAGTAACCGCAGTTGACAACTAGACTTGCTCTGTAGGGGGTGGGGGTGAAGAAAAGAGTTCAGGGGGTTGGTATCAGGTCTTTTATCCTCCACCTGAGCTGGGCTCTTTCATATGCTAAGTGGACTCTCTCAAGCTGGGCTAGGGAATTAAACACTATCATTAAAAAAAAAATCAACACTCAGGCTAAGGCATCAAGTCCCCCACCCCCAGTCACATGCCACCCAGGATTACACAAAATAAGGGTACCCTACTGAGCTGGGCTGTAATTACCCCAACAATGACCACTGAAGACAGCCATCCTTGCCCACCCTCCAAATGGAGGTTGGCTTGGCGTCCTGCAACATAATTGCTAACTTCCACWTGTGGTCCACCCCGGTGGTCAGTAGGTGGACAGTCTACTGTGGGGCGGGACAAGGGATTGTTTCATAGTGCCAACTAAGAGCCAGTAATAAATGGCTATTCTATTATTAGCATAGAGGGTGGGAATAACCAAAGAAAAACCCAGGGTCATTTGCCCTGGGAGTCTTTTTATATTTTTCTCCCAAGTTTCCAGTCTTTTATAGGTCGGTGCCTATAAGAACCAAATCCAAGGCACATCCAATGGTCTGGATTTTCAAACTCAGGTCTTTGCACATGCCAGGTCCTGTTACCCTATGGAAATGAGTGAGTTGGAAGTCTTTGCTATCTTGTGGTTTTTTAAAGACACACCGGAAAGTGTTAGATTGTATAGACTTAATTTAAGAGCAAAGAATTGAGAATAAATCCAACTGTTCTTCCATTTTCAGTGAACGAATAACGAAGGGGAAAAAAGATCATTTTCTAGCAGCAGCTCTTAAAGTGTGGTCTCTGGGCCAGCAGCAGCAAAGACACCTGAGAACTCATTTGAAAAATAAATGATCAGACTCCCTCCTCCAGACCCAAGATTAAAATCCTGCTGTAGGCACCCAGGTCACTGGGATGTGCACTTCAGTGTGAGGTCTTCTGCACTGGATGTGTGGTCCTTCATCCTGGCTGCCTGTTAGCACCAACTGGCAAACTTCTCATTGTGATGCCCCTGCAGACCCCAGAGCTATTAAATCAGAATGCCTAGCACTGGGCCCTGGGCATGCTGCTTTTAAAGGGCTCCCCAGATGATGTGAATGTACAGTCAGCATCGAGAATCACAATAAACTAGAATAAGAGAAATTTAGATTAGATGCTTTTGATTTAGGATTTTGGCTCAAAGTAATCATGACCACAGAATGAGTCCTAAGCATCACAGAAGCAGCGTTTGAGAGGAGGGGAGATATTTCTACCTTCTTGTGCTGGAGGGGAATGTGAGGCTCATCAGAAGTAACACAGCCTTGTCCCAACTCAGTGGTGACAGTAGCACTTAATAACTCATCCAGCAAAGACAGTTCCTCAACTGGCGAGAGGGGTGGGCTAGTCCCCACAGTCTGGTCTCAAGATAAAAGCCAAGCACTCAGAGGCAGTGAAGAGTGACACCACACCGCATGCAACTGACTCCAGATGCCACAGACCCCAGGAACCTCAGTCCTCCTCACTGTTGTGCAGCCTTGGACCCCTGAGTGCCCAGGCTGCATGGGACAGCAGGCTCTCCCCACTGGTGGCCAGTGTAACAATAGCCTATTGGGGCAGACCTTGAAGGAGCCACTCCTCTGGGTTGGGCAAATCTCAGCATCCTGCTTTGCAAATAAACTGTGGACTAAGGCCTCTCTCCTACCCAATTCAGGACCTTTACAATTAGCCCATAATAGCCAGGTTCCTCAAACTGGGGTACACTGGCATAGTTTAAAGGATCTTTGATATATATTTTTTCCCTACAATGAAAGGAATCTAAGCATTACTGAAGGATAAGGAACATTGCAAATTGTCTTTTCAAYAGAAAGAGACAACACTCCTTAGGACGTTACTGCAGAGATGATAGGCCAACCTCCACATCCCTACAGGGCAGGAGTCAGACCAAGCTCTCCCTCCAAATGACACTAAGGATCCAGTGGCATAGCCTGGGGCCTATTGAAGCTGGCAAAGTGATGTGCTTCCAGAAACTGCCTCACATCATCCCCAAAGGGTCTTGGGTATCCAGCCCTTAGGTATTASCTCCTTCCATGAAAGAGGGTGGGGACGAGAAAGGGAAGGGGAACCCTGATGCCCATGGTGACAGAGACTTTGCAGTGTGACCAGCCTCCRCTTGAATTTTGATCCTGGCATTTATTTGTTGTCTGGTTTTAAATATTAATTAAGTCTATGTCAATTTTTTGAACTGCAAAATCGGAAAAATCAAGCCTCRGTGTTTAAGATCAGGGTGGACAGAGAGAATGTATGGATGGCATTTTACACCACACTGAGAAAACGGCAAATGAAGTAGCAGCTATGATCCTTAATTATTCACCCTGAACACCAGCTGAAGATTCACCTCCTTTGTAAAAGCTTCCTTGAAATAAATTCATTAAAACACACACACACACACACACACACACACATACACAACAGAGACAGAGAGAGAGAGAGAGAGAGAGAGAGAGAGAGAGAGATGGAGAGATCGTCGTTTGCAGCTCTAGTACCCTTAGTATGCATGTAGACTCTAGTTATTATATTACAGATTGAATGGCCCTTATCTGAAATGCTTATGATCAGAAGTGTTTCAGATTTGGATTCTATTTGGATTTGGAGATATTTGCATATATATATAATGATATATCTTGGGGATGAGTCCCAAGTCTAAACAGAAAATTCATTTGTATTTCATATATAGCTATACATACAGCCTGAAAATAATTTTATTCAGTATTTTAGTAATTATGTGCAAGAAACAAGGTTTCAAGGGCTGGAATTTTCCACTTGTGGCTTGCTCAAAAAGWTGATTATTTACATGTCTGTCACAGTTTTATTAAAGAAGCAGACCTTGCTTTTATGTCCCCAATGCCCAGCACGCACTTGGCACATCATATATATTTTTGAGTGAATGAATGTAGCAAGATACTGCATTCACCTAGTAAAAAGAAGAATCTTTTAAAAAATTTTAGTGCAGCATAGTTATACATAAGAATGGGGTTCATTTGGCATATTCATAAATATGGATCACATAGTTTTCTTCATTTCAATCCCCAGCACTTCCTCTTCTGCTCCACCGCTCCCTCCCCGGATCCCCTTGCTCTACTCTATTGGTCTTAATTAGAATGGTGAGAATTGGGGGGAAGAGACAGGAGAGAGGCCACACAGGAAGAAGCTGATAATACCAGTTGACTATGAGATACAAGCAGTAGAGAAATCATAGATGCAGTTCATCCCGAAGGMTCTTTGAGGATGTTCTAGGGAGGACAGCCGGGGAGGGGCAATGCTTACACACATACTTAAAAAAGGCTGACAGTTTGCGAGGGTCCACATAGCCTTCTGAAAACAATTCCATTGAAGGGCAGACTCCCCTGTGGACACCATCACACACGATAGAGCTGTCCGAGGAGCCACCTCTTCCAGTTCCTAAGAATTCCAGGCCTCCATCTTGTCACTGCCTCACAGTTTTCTGCAGATTGTACCCTTGGGAAGCCCTCCACCTGGCCCTCTGAGACCAAAACCTTCCTCTTGGTTCCCCTGCCTGATCTGTGTGTGCATGAAGACTACCAAATACACCCTGGATTCACTGCCTCAGCCACCTCCCTGCCACTGTCCCACTCAACCCTGGAGTATGGACCTGGGCGAAATGCCCATTCCCTAGGAGCCTGACCATTTTTGCTACTGCAGGGGGTGACTGGAGAGACAAAACCCAAATCAATCCGTCCAGGAAACAGGTACAGGTGCTTTCTTGATGGTAGAGGCAGTAGAACTATGACCAGCCTGCAAACCAGGACTCAAGCACATGGCAGACATCAACTGCCTGCCTAAGCCTACACCTTCATGCCAGGACAGGAGGAGAACAAGGTGCTCCACACCTAACTCCTGCTGTCCCAAAGAATGGCTCACAGCAGGTGGGTAATGTCACTGTTAAAGTAGGCCCTGAGCAAGCCTGGGCTTCTCTTTTTAGGCTTCAACTGCTCTTGATCAGCATCAATATTTTAGAACTTAATCATCTCAACCCTCGTCTGAGCCCAGGACCACCGGTGTCATCAGGAGGACTCACCACGTCCTGGCCGCTGAGGACCTCCAAGATGCTGTTGAGCAACTCCACGCAGTACTTCTTCTCCTGGACCTGGTGCTGCATCTCGTCCTTCTGCTCCAACAGCTCCTTCAGCTCCTTGGTGATGACAGGAAGCAGGATGTCCCGGCATTCTAGAAGGAAGGGCGTTCACAGGCATGTGGCTTCCCCACTGTTAGGTTCCTTTCTTTCTTTCATGTGTGTATGTGTGTCTATATATAGACACACATGCACACTTATACATGTATATAACTACATATCATGTATAGTTCTTCATTAAAATTTTTATATTTAAAATTATAATTATGTATAAACTATATTATATTTATATGTAATTATATTTTTCATTAAATAAATTATTCATATATATATTCTCCTTATAACATTAAAATTATATTAAAATTAGGTTAAGATTTCCTTGGAATATCAGTCACAATTCTAGTTCCTCCTCTATCCCCAATTCCCTGGAGGCAACCAGTTATTTCATTCCATATATATGTGTGTGTGTGTGTGTATACACACACACACATATGAATATATACAATATATTCAGAAATATATGTATATATATATATATATATATATATATATATATATATAAACTCTCTAGTCTCGTTTTTATTGCACTTTTCCTTTAAGTCTGTCATGTTCAACTGGGGCTATGAACCTTTAAGGTCTTTCATATGACCTTGCATACACACATGCCATTAGGAAACATATCATGTCATTTTGTTTTGCTTTCTTTTTACAAAAGGGGCCTTGGCTGCATATTAGCACTCAGCACCTTGACTCTTTCCACTCACCAGTCTGTCCGGGAGCACTTTGGATGTTATTGCCTGTGGGGGCTAACTGGATTACTTAACTATGTTTATTACTTAACTAGGTTAACTGCCGAGATCCCATTCGTGGGCCTTCTCACTGTTGTAAACTGTACAAAATGTGAATAACTTTCCACATGCAGCCTTGTGCACACTGCTTTCATTTTAAGTAAATTGAGATTTTTGCAGGGAAGGGCCTCTGTCTTTTTTTTTTTTAGTTCTCTGCGGACACAACATCTTTGTTTGTATGTGGTGCTGAGGATYGAACCTGGGCCGCACACATGCCAGGCGAGCGTGCTACCGCTTGAGCTACATCCCCAGCCCCAGGGCCTCTGTCTTGACATTGCTGTCTTGAGAAAGTTTTGGAAGGTTCTGAAGCCCAAAACGGCTTTATCTCTTTATTTCCCTTGGAAATGGAAGGGATTAAAGAACCAAAACAAATCCAAACATGTCTCAAGCCATTCACACCCAGGTGCTGCTGGAGCTGAGCTGTGAATCGTATACGCTATGATTTCCTTTAAATCATAGATGATGAACACTTTTGACCTTTGGAAGCACCATATTTCTACAGTTTCAGGGATGAGGAAATCTAGACAGGTTCCTGCCTGTCAGTTACTTAAAACCTGACAAAAGTGATTAGCCATAAAAACAATGAACAGCGGCAGAAATTAGGAAAAGAGAAAGGAGGAAAGAGCTAGTTGCCATCTCTTGTTCTGTCTTGTTCTGCCTACTCCCTGCCTTCCTCAGGACAGACCTGACCCCATACATGGCGTCCCTCTGCTGTCGGAATCTTAAGGGAACATTTATAATACTAACTGCAGACAGTTATTATTCACAAATATATTTATGTTTTTTACAAATATATTTATATTATTCWCAAAAATATTTTCCTTATTAAAATTTTAACTATTAAAATTAGGTTAGTATTTCCTTGGAATATCAGTCCCAATTCTATTTCCTCTCTGTACAATTTCCTGGAGACTTTACAATGTGCTGGGCTACTAGACACCCTTTCAAGTGTCTTGTGTGAGTCACCTTGGTTAGTCCTCCAGGTGACCCCAGGTGGTAGGTGCCATTCTCCCTGATGAGATAACAAAAGGACTCCCTTGTGTGCACCACTAGGATCTGGTAGAAGAGCCTGTGCTCTTAGTCGCCCTGCAGGAGGCCACCTGGGACACCTGCTCCTCCTCCCAGAGCTATTCTGGGTCTCTGCTCTGATGGCTGGTTCCACAGCTTTCCCAGATTCTGGGTGCRCCTCTCTATCTTCCAAATACTTTTATTTTAACTTAAATTTACCAAAGTTGGGTTCAGTTGCTTGTAACCAAGACATTTCAACTGGCAGCCTCACAGCATGCCCTGAGTACATCAGAAGGAGAAATAGCTCTGGCTAAAAAGGTCATGGGAGACTTTATAGGCTGCAATAGAACCTTGTATGTCCCAGCTCTCACACCCCAAACTCAGCTTGTAAATCAGGTTCTAATCAGTGTAATTAATGTCCATTCAGCCCACCAAACAGTAAGCTCCATGAAAGTCAGACTGAAATTCTGACCAGAATCACAGAGTCAAGTTACCTCTTAGTTGAATGAGTTACCTCTTAGTTGAATGAGCGAAAGAAGTGGCTTTTGAGTTGGCCCTAATACTGCCATAGGAAGAGCAGGGAATTAGAACAGTGGGTGATTTATAGTAGCCAGATGTAGGGGGAGTGGGACATTCTCTTGCAAGTGAAATGATGAGAGATAACATTTAAAAGGAAAGTTCCGGAATACAATGGGAGGTGTTAGTTCTATGGAAACAAATTTGTAGGCAACAAAAAAAAAAAAAGATTCAGTTATGCTTGAATTTATAGATGAAATCACAGGGTTTAGTAAGCACTTTATTTGTTTACCTATTCCAGTAAATTTAAGTAAGAACAATTCAGACACAAGAAATTTGCACTTAAGAGGTCATTGGCCTGAGGGCTTTTGAGAGTACAAGACACTGCCATAGACATTACCCTTTGCTTAGTGAGATAAGGGGAAGAAGGTTGCAGAATGTTTGCATCCCAATTACCATAGGATTTAAGTTTAATCTATACTTAGTCCTTATCTTGTCATCAGGAAGTTGAGCTTCTGTCCAGATCTATTTATTTGAAAAGGACAAGGGAACTTTTCCACAATGTTTGTTCAGAATTTTGCTTTTAAATTCTTTTAAATGTATCTTTAAAAGAATATTAACTAGTAACTTAGAAACTTTGTGTCTTTCCCTGKGTTCAGATGCCTTTCTCAGGAAACCTGATGTCTGGAGTAGTGGGCTCTTTGTTAGAAGCTGCACAACCTCACTAACTTGGGATACTTAGCTGCCTGATCATGCCCCCACTGTTGTTCCCACAATTAAACCCAATAGAGGGTAAGAACTGTAAATTCTCCTATTACATTAGACAAGGGTTATAAAGTCTTCTTAAGTTAATTTTGACCATTTGACCCAGCTATCTCTCTCCTTGGTCTATACCCAAAGGACTTAAAAATAGCATACTACAGAGACACAGCCACATCAATGCTTATAGCAGCACAATTCACATTAGCTAAACTGTGGAACCAACCTAGATGCCCTTCAATAGATGAATGGATAAAAAAAAAAGTGGCATATACACAATGGAATATTACTCAGCAATAAAATCATGGCATTTGAAGGTAAGTGGCTGGAGTTAGAGAAGATAATGCTAAGTGAAGTTAGCCAATCCCAAAAACCCAAATGCCAAATGTTTTCTTTAATATCTGGAGGCTGATTCATAATGGGATAGGGAGGGGGAGCATGGGAGGAATAGAAGAACTCTAGATAGGGCAGAGGGGTTGGGGGGGGGAAGGGAAGGGGCATGGGGTTATTAATGATGGTGGAATGTGATGATCATTATTATCCAAAGTACAGGTATGAAGACACGGGTTGGTGTGAAAATACTGTGTATACAACTGGATATATGAAAAATTGTGCTCTATGTGTGTAATAAGAATTGTAATGCATTCCGCTGTCATATATAAATTTTTTAAAAGTTAATTTTGTAAGAAAATAAATAAGAGATCTAACAAAGGAGGTTTACAACACAACAAAAAGACTTGTACTTCCATAATCCCCTGGGCAAAAGGGAGCCACCAGAAAATGTCCTTGAAGAAGATTCATGTCACTGCAGTGCAAACAATGGCTGAAGGACAAAGCCACAGAGAATGGTGACGATGTCCTTGTAAGAATCCAAGTAGTGACACAGAGAACAGAGTCCTGGGACCTCTGCCCCAGATTTCTGCCTCTGACACAACAGAGGCTGAAGCTAAATATTTGATAAGATCTTGAAGGGCGGTGGAAGAAACCAATCAGGGGTGAGCAGTTGACTTGAGTTTACAACACAAGGAGCTGGGGAGGAGCTCAGTATGTAGTGTGCTCAGCATCCAGGAGATCCTGGGTTCAGTCCCCAGCACACAAACAAACAAAAAAAGTGTAAAAAAAAAAATCTTAAGAATAAAAGAGCCTTTTGCTTCTCAAGACAATGAAAATCACTTAAACTCCTCTCAAGTAAGAATACTATGTGATCACTCAGGCCTTTAGGAAGGAGATGCTGGAAGGCAGCTGCAGACCTGGCTCATTCATGCACTTAGCTAACTCATTTGCTCATTCAGTCAGCCCKACATTCATTCAGTCACTCCACTACCTTTATTGAGGGGTTGCTATGTACAAGTACTGTTCCAGGCAGAAAGGAATGATCGTAGGTTAATCACCTGTCCAGCAACCAAGGCAACAGAGATCAGAAGCAGATGTGTCTAGGTGACAAACGTAGGGCTCTCATGTACCTAGAGGGGCAGTGTGTTATAAGTGGCCATAAAATACAGCTGTGGGATAACAGAGACCAAGTTTTGTACCCTAGTTAGGAAATCTCAGTTAGCTCCCATTTCAAAGTTTGAATCCAAGAGGAAACTGCTGAYGATAGATTTCAGACATTAATGACCCCCCGGGGAAGCCATGGGACTTTAAATTTCACTTAGCAATTGAGCTAAATTAGTAGATTCTAGTGGAAAGTTCTTACAGTGAGCTCCTCATCCCTAGGAGCACCCAAGTAATAAGGTAGCTGCTTAAGGACAGAGACGATGGAAAATACCATATCAGACAAAAGGTTGATCAATATGATTGAGTCCCCATCCCAAATTCTAGGATTTCATAAAGTACAGGTTCTGAGCAAGCAGGAGGAGGAAGGATATATTTGCAAGTAGAAAAGCARTGGAGATGTTTGCATTTCTTTAAGTCACTGGGGTTAAGGAGCTGCAGACCAGGCCCCAGCAACACAGGTAGTTCAT